TCTGATGATCAAGAAACATGTCTGATTATTATCAGCGTTGAAATGATTGTGTTGTTCAATGAAGTATGGACATCGTGGAAGTATTTTTTTCAAGATCCTTTGAATAGAGATCGAGTTCATCAGAAAGCATTTATTTGAAAAATAATCTTGTGTAACATTATAAACGTTTTTCCTGTCACTTTTGATCAATTTAATGCTTCCTCGCTTTTTTTCAAAAAAACAAAAAATCTTAAAATGACCCCAAACTTTTGAAAAGTCATGTATATAATGTACTAACTCCCTCTGGCCGGTTACCTCACTCACGGTTCTAATGTTCCACTCAAAGCGTTCGGAATTCCATTTAGAATGTAGAGTTTGCGTTCTCACATGCTGCGTGTGTTGCCGTGGTAACAGGCCCGGCAGGCGGCCCCGTGTATCCTGTTCTTCGACGAGCTGGACTCCATCGCTAAATCCCGAGGGGGCGGAGCTGGAGACGCAGGCGGAGCGGCTGATAGGGTCATCAACCAGATCCTGACCGAGATGGACGGGATGAGCGACAAGAAGAACGTCTTTATCATCGGCGCCACCAACAGGTACAAAAAAACCTGAGAAGTGGATAAAGTGAGGAAGGGATGTGCATATATATATATATATATATATATATATATATATATATATGAAGAGTTCAGATGCAAAAGCCTCTAAATGCCATTTGAAATTTTCTTCTAGAATGATCATTTTTATCAAGCTTGTATATTTAAGTTCAGTAATTTCACTTAAATGACAACTAATAGGTAATCTTCATTGTCATTTAAGTGAAATTACTAAACTTAAATATACAAGCTTGATAAAAATGATCATTCTAGAAGAAAATTTAAAATGGCACTTAGAGGCTTTTGCATCTGAACTCTTCATATATATATTAGCACATCCCTTCCTAATATATATATATATATATATATATATATATATTAGCTAATATATATTAATATATATATATATATATATATATATATATATATTATACTAGTATACTAATATTAAATTGAATCAGTGGTGTAATATGAATTAGTATATTTTTGGGTATGAAATTTTTTGGAACGTTTTTGGAACGAATATGCAAATAATTCATTTTACACCACTGATTCAATTTAATATTAGTATACTAGTATAATATATATATATATATATATATATATATATATATATGAAGAGTTCAGATGCAAAAGCCTCTAAATGCCATTTGAAATTTTCTTCTAAAATGATCATTTTTATCAAGCTTGTATATTTAAGGTCAGTAATTTCACTTAAATGGCAATGAAGATTATTAATTGTCATTTAAGTGAAATTACTGAACTTAAATATACAAGCTTGATAAAAATGACCATTCTAGAAGAGAATTTCAAATGGAATTTAGAGGCTTTTGCATTTGAACTCTTCATATATTATACTAGTATACTAATATTAAATTGAATCAGTGGTGTAAATGAATTAGTATATTTTTGGGTATGAAAGGCTGTATTTTGTAATAAGTAAATGCTCTGTTTCCTCCAATGCATTGGTGATGTAGACCTGACATCATCGATCCTGCAATCCTGAGACCCGGCCGCTTGGATCAGTTGATTTACATCCCTCTCCCTGACATGGGCTCTCGCTCCGCCATCCTGCGCGCAAACCTCCGCAAGTCCCCGGTGGCTAAGGTCATTCACACACACACAGACACACACTAACCCTACCCCTAAACCTGCTCATCACACACATATGAAGCCCCCCTGTAACGGTGTGTCCCTCAGGACGTGGACCTGGCGTATCTGTCCCGGATAACGGAGGGCTTCTCGGGAGCGGACCTGACGGAGATCTGTCAGAGAGCCTGTAAACTGGCCATCAGAGAAGCCATCGAGGCGGAGATCCGTGCCGAGAGACAGCGCCAGGGCGGGAAAGACACTGCTATGGTGAGTGTGTGTGTGTGAGAAAAACACTGTATCCACACACGAGTTTAGAGAGAACGGTGAAGTCCTGGTGTCCTAAAGGGCAGATGACTGTTTTATAACAAAGCAAATCTCAATGACGAACTGTAGAAATGGAAATATTTGTTGTTAGTTAAAAGAATATTGTTTTTTGTTTACTCGTCGTTTTTGTGAGTACTTTACATTGATGTCAGATTTTATTATTAATTTTAAATATTGTATTAAAATAATCTTAACAACCAGTTTAGGATTTGTTTTCCTTACTCAAGTTATATTAGCAACTAGAAACAAAAACAAAGAAACTCACTAATCAAATGTCAAACTAATGACCATTCTGACTAATCCCTTGAGTCTCTAAAAGTCTCTCTGTAATTAATAATCGATCTTTGATCACCAAAATTACATATTTAAATGTATTTTTCTTTGAATAAAAATTCTTCATGCCTTAAAATATCTTGAATGTAACTCGACACCCTTGCCTCATTTAATATGCGCGGTTCTATGAATATGCAAATGAGCCCACCTCCACTCCACAGATCCACTGGTTGGCGATCACACGTTGATCTGATTGGTTACAAGGTCATTTGTGACGTCAGAAACACCAGCGATTTCACACTGTGTTTTTGAGTTCACTGCAGTTTTAAGCAGAAAATACTCTTATGAATTTACACGTTTTTTTTCCTAAAGCACATTAATAACACCACATAACATAAACAACATTAAAAGCTGGATTTTCACCACACGTTTCATATTGTGTGTTATACAAACACGTGATTCATACTTCATAACGCTTTCCAGGATGATGATTATGACCCGGTGCCTGAGATCAGGAAGGATCATTTCGAGGAAGCCATGAGGTTCGCTCGTCGGTCTGTTAGTGATAACGACATCCGCAAGTATGAGATGTTTGCTCAGACTCTCCAGCAGAGCCGTGGATTCGGGAACTTCAGGTGCTCAAACACACAAACACCAAATCAGCATACAGCAATGCTGCCTAAATGTCATAATCGTATGTTATCAAACAAGTATGAATGGAAGCTTGTTTCCGCCACTGAATAAAAATAAATAAATAATTGTGACTTTTTATTTCACAATTGCGAGAAAAAAGACAAAATTGAGATTTTTATCAATTCTGTTTTTTTTAAATCAATTTTAACAATTCTGACTTTATATCTCCTTTATATCTACTTTATATCTTTCACTCCTTGCCCGTCGTCAGGTTTCCTACAGCGGCTCAGTCAGGTGGAGGTCAAGGGTCAGGCCAAGGCTCAGGGGGGCAGTTCAGAAACGATGGAGATGATGACCTCTATCAGTGATCAAGGTCAACGGTCCCCTACCAGCCCAACACCCGAGAGAAGAGATTGGACTGGAATCAACACATTATATTATTAAAGGGACAGTTCACCCGAAAATGAAAAATATGGGCAACCAAACAGTTGTTGGACCCCATTGACTTCCATATATTTTATTCATATTGGAAGTCAATGGGGTCCAACAACACTCTGATTACCCATATTCTTCCAAATATCGAATAAATATTGAATTGAATTATGATGACAGAATCTTTATTTTTGGGTGAACTGGCCCTTTAATAGTGGAAACAACCAATATGTTGTTGTTTTTTTCTGACAGGGATTATAATCTCTTTTAGTTCTGTGAGAAACTAATGTCAGAAATATTCAATTGAATCAGTGGTGTAAATGTATTTATTTACTGTACTGAAGTGTATTTTTTTGGTTATTTTGTAGTTTGACTGAGTATCAAAGACTTTTACTCTCTACTTGACTACATTTCTAAATAAGTAAATGCACTGTTTCCTCCAATACATTTGTGATGATGAGTTATGCAATTACTCGTTAAATTTAGCATGGCACCAGCAGTTTATCTCTGCGACATCTACAGGGAACTGAAGGTATTATATTTAGTGTGCTTTAGCCTTGTTCACAAAACTGGTCCACAAGGCCACTTTACATGAGTGCGAGTGCATTAGCAGTTTGATTGGCAGGAGTTTTATATATTAGATGAGGACATGTCCGGTGCAAGTAGGCTTTGACTACTTTACATTATTTTATTTATCCATAACTTTTTGAAGGATATTGTTTACTTGCTGTCTTTGAACACTCAAGCTTAACTGAGACTTGAGTGGCTGTAGATGTGTAAGAGGCTGTTGTTTTGACCTTGATTCATTGCCATTTTGAAGTGTTCAGTTTTATTTAAAGTGAATAAACATGTGATTGCTCTCCTCAGAAATCCTGTTTCATGTCACTTGCATGTCTCTCAGGTGTTGAGGGTTAGCGCATCTTTGAGCCCTGCACATTCAGTACTAGTAAAACACTAATCAGATACCCTAAACTGCATGTTTGAGCCGAACTGAAAGCAACTTGCACTGACATATCTTAACATTTCAGTGCCATAGTTTTGTAAGCACATCATGTTTTTTTCTAAGGCACGAACATTTATAAAAGCTGTTTAAATGTCCTAATTGAGTTTAGGCCTAATCCTGACTTAATCTAAGCCTCGTCTGTAAAACCAGACCTGAGATTTTTACTCGAGTTGGTGAACTGTAATGAAGTCATTGCTGTTTACTCTATGGTTTCAGATACTCTTTACCTCTGAATTTAAGCCTATTATTCACATTTAAAATTATAAGATGATGCTGTTAAATGTGTTTATGTGACTGTGTGTCTGACAGTAATAAATACAATATTAATGAAGTCCCCCTGACTGTAGATCTCTTTCTCTAATTTAGCCTAATTCAAGTGTGCCTGTTCAGATCGAACACTCTCTGTAACTATCAAGTTCTTAATTAATCTTAATTACCTTGGTTTTAATGTCACCATAATGTCATATAGATTTTAAAAACAAGAAAGTAAACGTTGGTTACGCTAGGCTAATTCTTACTACAAACAAATCACTCATGTAACGTGTCGTGTGATATGAACATCAGCAATTTATTTTCGAGCTAACATCTTTGACCGCCTTTTAGGGCGATCTCGAGGCGGAACGGAATCATGAGTGTCTAGGGCGTTCAGGAGAGTTTAACTCGTTGCGCGTGTTTACTTCCGGCGCAGAGCGGAAACTACAGCTGGGTTCTGGAGGTGACCGAATGGCAGTGCAGAATTGAGTAGCTTTCTGCATTCTAAGCGGTATTATAGTTCTCTGTGGTTGGACGTTCAGCTGTTTTTGCAGTCAGAGGTGATATACTGCGTTGAGGATGGGGTCTCATCTCGTGCGGAGCTACATCACGGAACCCGACGTGACACCGGACCCGCGGAAGCCGTCACAATACGACCCGAATCTGGGCTTCGGCGAGCGGAAAGAGAGAGGTGACCGAATACACATTATTCCTCAACGACAGGCTTTATTATCCCTCTAAATATAAACCGCGAGTGTTTAAGTCCTCAGAATGACTTTGAAATTCAGGTCCGATATGACAATAAATGTGTGTGTCTAAGTTAGTTATGAGTGTGTGTGTGTAGAGTTGGTGTCATTACAACTCGCATTCATGTAGAGCTGACTAGAACATTGTTCCCCAAAAACACAATACCGTTTTACTCAGTTTTAAACTATTAAACTTAATCGGTGATGCATGTTTGTTTCTCAGTCAATCATAAATTAATCTAAGTTAGTAAGATTTCTGCACTTAAAAATGCAGTTTATTAACCGATTGTCTATTAGATTAAAATTATAAAGTATTTAAATGTCTTAAATCACCATTTGCAGAATCTTCTTTTTATCCAACTTGGGTTACAAATAAGGAGAATAATAAAATTTTCGGATATTGAGAAAACAATAATTCCGACGAATTGAATGAACTTTAAGTATGGTTATGCCACGATATTAACAATATTTGTTTGAAATCCATTTTATTCATCATGATTATATATATATATATATATATATATATATATATATATATATAAAAACCTGTTTTTTTTTTTTTGTCTTTTCGGTATTGTAGCCCTCAAACCGTATTCACTTTATAGCTCTTAATCCTTTAATTGTGGACAAATGTGGGCACAGAGGACTTAGGTGTGATCCTAATTTTTATTTGTTATAAATGTTATATCACTTCGATAAAGTTTTGTCTATCCATTTATGGTGTTTTTATTTTATTTTGGAGGTATTTTTGAATTTATTTACTTCAAAATGTACCATGTTTTCTATGTAAATTATGCTTATTTATGTTTTATTTTTTTTAAACTACATTAAAATATCATTCCAATACGTGCTTAGAGCTAAAACCTAATTATTTTGGCTTATTTTAGAATGCTCTAAATTACAGTTTTTCCCATTCATGTCAATGGATGCCCATTTTTGACCAAAATTCAAGATTAAGGATTTTTTTTTCAACCACTTAACATTGTAGAATTGAGTCAAAAAAATTGTGTTTGTTCAGGAGGCAAACTTAGGAAAAGTAGCCACGTCTCGTACCGCTCAGATCAAGGGAAGTATTTTTTAAAAATAAATCAAAACTATTTTTTGCCCACATTTGTCCAGAATACGGTTTTAGGGTTAAATGCATTTAGTTTATTATCACTATTTATTATTTCACACTTGGCCAATGTTTATATAACATGAACTTGATTAGTTTATGTTAAAACTGTGTAATCCAAATGGATATCTAGGCCCAAATATATCTATATTTTTGAATGTATGACGTGTCTCCAGGTAATGTCTTGTTCACGGTTCCTGTCAAGTGAAGTTTTCCCACGCACTGTGTGACACTGAATGTTGTGTTGTTGTGTGTCAGAGATGCTGGCGTCGCAGGAGCAGATGAACATGGCCATGCTGCCGGTGGAGCAGAGAGATTACTGCGCACACCACCTCCTCAAACTCATGAAGTGCAAGAGAGACAACTTCCCCAACTTCCTGGCCTGCAAACACGAGAGGCACGACTGGGACTACTGCGAACACCAGGAGTAAGACATCCTCTTTCAGTCCGTCTGCTCTCTCACACACACACACACACACACACTCTTGTTACGATTAGATCAGTGTGAAAGTTCATCTGGTTGCAGAAGTAATTCTTCTCTCACTCAATTGGCATTCCTGCTCGATTCATTTAAAGAGCAACATTTATAACGTTACCCTGAATAAAAGAAAACATTCTTACCTTTAATTGACTTCAACCCGTCCCTAGCTTTAGAAGAGCAATATTAGTATCATTACCCTGAATAATAATAAAAAAATTATTTATATATTTTATTTAATAATTGGTCATTAAATGCATATGAAATAGAAACCCAAAGCTGTTTTTACTGGTATTACTGAAGTTTTTAATGTGAAATTTGAACCCCTTAGCTGAGAATGGGGGTTAAAATGCGCTATTCAAACTTAAATGGTTGTAATTCAGGAATGCTTTGGAATATATACCCAAGTTTGCTCTTGTTTTAAAGAAAACACTCAGCAGATTATTTCAAAATATGAAAGTATGAAAAAGTTATGGAAGTTTAAATTCACAGTAAATCAAATATACTGTACTGTATATTTTTTATATTTTATATAAAATATGTATTTTACAAAATATTTTTTTCTCTAAAATTACTATAAAATCAAAGCCATAAATCTAACCAAGCTATGTTCCAATTTTGAAGTTTGATTAGATATCACAAAAATTGAAGTTCCCATGAGATTTTGTTTAGGCGCAGTACCAAAAATAGCCACCGGGTGCCATTGAATTCCATTGAATTTAGTTGTATACATTCTGCCTTAACAAATTCATCAATTCTGTCACAAAATGTGGAGCCTTGAGAGTCAGACCTTTGTGACAATATGTGTTTTGTCAAGATTAAAAAAGGTTTTGATCATACATTGTGAAATATAATGATGCCCAAAAGGGGAGGAGCCTGATAAAATAATTCAGAGGACCGTTTCTATGGTAACGCAACGTTCAATTATAAAACGGTTTTCACAGGATGAATTCTGTGTTTATAAGCTTTCAAATGATACCTAATTTATGAACTACTAAAATATGTGGTTTAATAAAAAAGGCAATAAAAAAAATATTATATTTTAGAGGATAATATTATACCATATTTTTTTTTGAAAAATACTAGATTATGATTTATCATGAACTTTTATCATAAAAACAGAAGTTTCAATGATTAAAGGGTTAGTTCACCCAAAAATGAAAATTCTGTCAGTATTTACTCACCCTCATGTTGTTCCAAACCTCTATGTGTTTATTTATTCTGCTGAACACAAAGGAAGATATTTGGAAGAATGTTTTAACCAAACAGATCTCATTCCCCATTGACTACTATAGTATGTATTTTTCCTACTATGGTAGTCAATGGGGAATGAGATCTGTTTGATTAAAACATTCTTCCAAATATCTTCCTTTGTGTTCAGCAGAAAAAATAAGCACATAGAGGTTTGGAACAACATGAGGGTGAGTAAATACTGACAGAATTTTTATTTTTGGGTGAACTAACCCTTTAAAAGTGGATGCATCGATTTTTTTTTTTTTTTTGTGACAAAGGTCAGACCTGTTATGATGCAGATTTTTTGAAGTGCACTCTTGTCATAAATTCATCATTTAATCTTTCTACATAATTTGTAACACAAAACAGGGGTAGAATATCATTATCTATTTAGAAGTCTTACGCCTTTCCAACGACGTATAATTTGTCATAATTAGATTAGGATTTAATAGAAATATAGTGAAGTAAAGTTAGGGATCCCAGTACCAGGTCGACAGTTAAGGGGTTAAAGTAGGCCTACAATTATAATTAAGTAAATCATTATAGACTATTAGAAATAGAAATAGTTTTTTTTTTGTAGTGATGATGACACAAGAATTTGTTTTTCTAGAGTAAAGAACATTTTAATAATCTTTAGAACCCTTTATGCATTTAAAAAGATTCTTAATGGAACAATCAATGGCAACAAAGAACATTTATTTTAAAGTCCCTGTAAAGGCAATTCCACAAAAAAGTTCTAAACACATTATAAATGTTACATATGTATTGTTAAAACATATTACAAAGACTGTGAACTGTGAAGTACTGAAATGTGGAGTTAGACCGTTAAACAGTTTTTCACCATTGCAATTTTACGGATTTTTGGGCGGGGCTAAAACAGGCCTCGATGACGCACTGGAGCCCATGAGCTCCTGGACACGCCCCTATTTGATGACGCATTTTGCTGATCTCATTGGTCCCCTAACAATAGAGCACATTCGCCGCTCAATCGCGAGTGACTGTCAGTCCTATTAGTTACTACAGCCTACAGTTTTCTAGCTATTTGACACAGAAATGCATAGGCTATTACCTGGATGCGATCATGTACAAAACAGATCGGTATCTTCATTTAAATTCCCTAAAACGATCACATCAAGAAGAGGTTTTTAGAGAGCCAACCTTGTTGATGAAGAGCTGAGGATCACCGCAAACACCCGCCTCTGTAGTGATCGTTTTATAAACTTTCCTCAGAGACAACTGGGATTCACTGATAATCCGCTGTTACTGGTGAACGGGGCCGAAACGACTATCTCCCACCTCAGCGTTCATCCTCCCGTCTCCAAAAGCTAATCAGCTAATATCACCGTCGACAGCTTTCCCGTGAGTGGGCGTGGTTTCCACGTAGCCAGCGGACACGCCCCCAGCGTTTGAGAACAGAGATAACTTTTTTCAAGATTTTGATAGCTCATTTTATGTACTTGCCGGCTTTTTTTATCATTCAATGGGCCATATGCACACATAAGTTCTGCATTTGACGCAAGGACACTCGTCCATTTCCGGTTGTGGACATTTAAGCGGAGGAGAACAGAGGAAAACGGGATTATGGCAGAGTCTACAAAATATACTGTCCTCCTGTCTTTGAAACGAAACGTACATACGTTTAGATGTAATTTTATATACAGTTATGTTTATTTAATATAATTTTAAATAAATAAATAATTTTAAAAGAAGTATAAACACAACGAGGGGTGTCTGTTTTATCTGTTTTGTGACTAACGTTTCTTTATGATAATCATGGAGTATAAAATTCAATATAAATTCTCGGTGTTGCATTGGACTCTACGATCTACGATAAATATCTCAATATCTCAGCTGTGGAAGGGTCTAGAGCCTCCATTTTTGCACTCAGGTCTATGTCTCATGGCCCTCTATCAGAATCCAGAGTTTCAAGAAGATTGGAGAAACTCAAAATTTTGCCCTCAAAATTTCGACCCGAAAAAAACGACAGTGTTACCCCTTTAGTTTTTTTTGGGGGTCAAAATTTTGAGTTTCTCTGATCTTCTTGAAACTCTGGATTCTGATAGAGGGCCAAGAGACTTAGACCTGAGTGCAAAAATGGAGGCTCTAGACCCTTCCAGAGCTGAGATATCAAAACTCAAAAATTCGAACCCAAAAAAAACGACAGTGGTACCCCTTTCGTTTTTTTTTTTCGGTCGAAAAATGAAGTTTCTCCAATCTTCTCAAAACTCAGGATTCTGATAGAGGGACATGAGACTTAAACCTGAGAGCAAAAATGGAGGCTCTAGACCCTTCCACAGCTGAGATATCGAAACTCAAAAATTCGAACCCAAAAAAAACCGACAGTGTTACCCCTTTCGTTTTTTTTTTTTGGGTGCGAAAAAATAAGTTTCTCTAATCTTCTCAAAACTCTGGATTCTGATAGAGGGCCATGAGACTTAAACCTGAGTGCAAAAATGGAGGCTCTAGACCCTTCAAGAGCTGAGATATTGAGATCCCACGTAGCATTTATGCATTATAAATATCTCAATATCTCAGCTCTGGAAGGGTCTAAAGCCTCCATTTTTGCGCTCAGGTCAAAGTCTCACAGCCCTCTATCAGAATCCAGAGTTTTGAAAAGATTAGAGAAACTTATTTTTTCGCACCCAAAAAAAAAAAAAAACGAAAGGGGTAACACTGTCGTTTTTTTGGGGGTCGAAATTTTGAGTTTTGATATCTCAGCTCTGGAAGGGTCTAGAGCCTCCATTTTTGCACTCAGGTTTAAGTCTCATGTCCCTCTATCAGAATCCAGAGTTTTGAGAAGATTGGAGAAACTTCATTTTTCGACCGAAAAAAAAAAAACGAAAGGGGTACCACTGTCGTTTTTTTTGGGTTCGAATTTTTGAGTTTCGATATCTCAGCTGTGGAAGGGTCTAGAGCCTCCATTTTTGCACTCAGGTCCAAGTCTCATGGCCCTCTATCAGAATCCAGAGTTTCAAGAAGATCGGAGAAACTCAAAATTTTGACCCCAAAAAAAACAAAACAAAACAAAAAAAACGACAGTGTTACCCCTTTCGGTTTTTTTTTGGGGTGCGAAAAAATAAGTTTCTCTAATCTTCTCAAAACTCTGGATTCTGATAGAGGGCCATCAGACTAGGGATGGGACGGTATGAAAATTTCATATCACGATTATATGTCCAAAATAATCGTGATTATCAATATTATCACGGTTTTGTTCAAAATTTATGAAAGTGCTCAAAAAGAACTGATGCTCACACTGAAAACATTTCAACAAGTTTTATAATTGAAAATCAACAAACAACAAATAAAACAAGCCTCTCTATGCAGTTTTTTAAGCAAGATTCTATTCTATGGCATTTGCTTCTTTATAATGCCCGTCGTCAATAGCAACGCATTATTACACAGCGCACATCCATATCACAACGGACACGCGCTTTTGTTTCATTCAAATACAACTTGCCGTCTTGCGTCTCCGGTTTTTGATTGTATTGCAAAAATGAAATCATGTTGATTTAGTTGATTTATTGCTTACAGAGTTTGATAATATTGGTGTGATATATCTTGTCTGGACGATTGTTTTACAAAATGAATTCATAAACAGTTAAGATTCAAAACATTAGCTAACCTCATTATCAATTCAATATATCCCTGTAATTATGTGGTAAAAATAAAATCGGTTTAATACGTGATGTACTTTACTATCCCTTAAAATATCACTCTTAATAATAGTCTTGTTTGAAGTTGTTCGTTCGTCTTTAGCTCAAATCCACTTGCTACGAACTTTTCTTCGCGGAAGCTTCACGTCTATTTCAAATGAGTGACATAAAATGTTTCAACTCAAAATTTCGTGCCCAACTGTTTCCCAGAAGTAGTTTTGGTGTTAAGGTCAAAGTTAACTTGCCTTGCGTTCGGGTGATAATCACACAAGACGACTCGGCAGATTTGAAGTGTTTCTATTGCAGTGACTTTTTGTTCGACAGACAGGGTGACCATCCTCGATCAAGTTTCCTTCAGGACTTTTGTAAAACCCAAAATATGACCACACCTCAGATTTGGTCCTCTTAAAAGGCTGAAAAATCTCCCGAGCACGGTCACTGCCTTCCACTATTCCTTCTCGAATAGTAATTAAAAAAAATATTGCGTGCTGCGCGCCTGCGTCAGACTGGCCGACAGGATTCAGGATAATCAAACACGGTTTTAATGATAATTAAATTTTAAACAATAATACTAACCGTCAGTACATTTGATCACGGTTTATCGTGAAACCGGTTATCGTCCCATCCCTACATCAGACTTAAACCTGAGTGCAAAAATGGAGGCTCTAGACCCTTCCACAGCTGAGATATCGAAACTCAAAATTTCGACCTTTCAAACTTATTTTTCGCACCCAAAAAAAAAAAAAACGAAAAGGGGTAACACTGTTTTTTTTTTGGGGGTCAAAATTTTGAGTTTCGATATCTCAGCTCTGGAAGGGTCTAGAGCCTCCATTTTTGCACTCAGGTTAAGTCTCATGGCCCTCTATCATAATCCAGAGTTTCAAGAAGATTGGAGAAACTCAAAATTTTGACCCCAAAAAAAAATAAAACGACAATGTTACCCCTTTTGTTTTTGTTTTGTTTTTTTGGTGCGAAAAAATAAGTTTCTCCAATCTTCTCAAAACTCTGGATTCTGATAGAGAATCGAGCATCCTTACACCTTCACCGGAAATACCGCCGTGCATAGAGCCCATTTGGCTGGGTGGCTAATAACACATTTTTCTGTGGTGCGACAAACTCAGAACACATACTTAATTTTGACTTTACAGGGACTTTAAAGTGTGTGTGTGAACATTGTGCTGTTATGCTCTTCTGATTGAGTGTGTCCTCTTCTCTGCAGTTATGTGATGAGGATGAAAGAGTATGAGCGAGAGAGAAGACTGAACTTGAGGAAGAAGAGGATCGAGGCAAACGCTGCATAAACACAATCTCCCGCTTCACTTCCTCTAGTTTCTGTGTATATACATGTCTCTCTCCATAATAAAGATGATCTAGTGAGCTCTACAAGATGGCATTGATCCGTGTGTTTTATTCACAGATTCGCAACCAATCTAGCAGAATACATTACGCTTGAATTACATTGGACAAATCACAAGACAATCACACTTTTTTATCCTCTTTTATATAAATGTTAAGTCAACAAAACTGTTCTGAGATCTGCAGTTTTTCCTTTAGCTCCACATGCTGTAATAATACTAATATTAATCAAACACACAACGTCTCGGACCTCTTGTTAGTGATTTGAGACCATCACAATGAATTAGAGCCAGACCGATATATCGGCAGGCCGATATTATTGGCCGATATTAGGCATTTTCGAAAATATCGGTAGTTATAATGGCCGATAAATGAATATTTCAAAAATAAAATAAAAACGGATGAATCACGCAGCTTATAACTACAAGGCAATGTAGGGGCTAATTATTATTTTATTTATCAGAACTTTAATATATTTTCATGTTCCTCTGTTCTGTTGTGACAATAGAAACAAGTTTCTTTTTAAAATGCATTATCATATTATTTTAGTTAAAACTCATAAATAACTACAAATAACTAATGTTAGGTAAATCTGTCAATATTTTGTTGTGCGTTTCTGAAATAATAATAATAATAAATATCGGCCGATATATCAGATTTTAAAACCAACAAATATTTGTATCGGTATCGGCCTTCAAAATCCTTTATCGGTCTGGCTCTACAATGAATAAAAGCAGAACTAAAAATCTGTACTGAAGTCACAGCCATCACATGACCAGTCAAACACACACTTCAGCATATAGTGCACTCAGAATACAGTAGCGGAGTCACACAGACGGCTTCTCTATCTGTTTAGTGACTAGATGAGGGGATCTAATGAAGAAGTGTGCAGGACTGGGGATACTGCACACAATCACCTTACTTTCAAACACTTCCCCTCCATATGTTTCATTATTGTAATGCAAATTATACATTTTGATTCATTTTACAGTTGTATACTTACCCTCTATTCTCAATACTGTGACTTTTGTAACACAATTGTGTGCTTAAAATGTCTAAAAATGTGCTCTATGTTTTTGTGTGCAAAATATGAGTTATGATGTGATGACAGATCACACCTATAGGGGGCGACACACACCATTACAATGAAGCTTGAGGTTGTGGATCTGAGCTTTATTATGCAGGATCAGTCCGTTCTCCGAGATGGAGGCGGGCCGTGTGCAGTATAAAAGAGAGAGAGGAGGTTAAAAGAGGGCGTGTCCTACAGGACGAAGGGCAGGATGGGCGAGCGCAGCGTGGGATAGTCCCGAAACTCCTTCAGGTAACTGCGGTGTTTGCCCTTCGCCCACACCGTCATCTGGATGAAGCCCACCAGCGTGAAGAAGGCCACGGGCAGACACTGCGTCATCAGAGTGAAGCCCAGCCACGAGCCCAGCTGCACACACACACACAACAGAGATGTCACAATATAGCGCGAGACTTAAACACATCAGTGTGGATAGTTCACCCAAAAACTGTGAAAGTATTGAGGTATTTATAATGGCATGAATGCTATGTGGGATCTCAATATCTCAGCTGTGGAAGGGTCTAGAGCCTCCATTTTTGCACTCAGGTCTAAGTCCCATGGCCCTCTATCAGAATCCAGAGTTTTGAGAAGATTGGAGAAACTTAATTTTTCGCCCGAAAAAAAAAAAAAAAAACGTAAGGGGTAACACTGTCGTTTTTTTTTTCGGGTCGAAATTTTGAGTTTCCATATCTCAGCTCTGGAAGGGTCTAGAGCCTCCATTTTTGCGCTCAGGTCAAAGTCTCGCGGCCCTCTATCATAATCCAGAGTTTTGAGAAGATTGGAGAAACTTGATTTTTCGCCCGAAAACAAAAAAAAACGTAAGGGGTAACACTGTCGTTTTTTTTTCGGGTCGAAACTTTGAGTTTCCATATCTCAGCTCTGGAAGGGTCTAGAGCCTCCATTTTTGCACTCAGGTCAAAGTCTCACGGCCCTCTATCATAATCCAGAGTTTTGAGAAGATTGGAGAAACTTGATTTTTCCCCCGAAAACAAAAAAAAACGTAAGGGGTAACACTGTCGTTTTTTTTTCGGGTCGAAACTTTGAGTTTCCATATCTCAGCTCTGGAAGGGTCTAGAGCCTCCATTTTTGCGCTCAGGTCAAAGTCTCGCGGCCCTCTATCATAATCCAGAGTTTTGAGAAGATTGGAGAAACTTGATTTCTCCCCCGAAAACAAAAAAAAACGTAAGGGGTAACACTGTCGTTTTTTTTTCGGGTCGAATTTTTGAGTTTCGATATCTCAGCTCTGGAAGGGTCTAGAGCCTCCATTTTTGCACTCAGGTCTAAGTCTCATGGCCCTCTATCAGAATCCAGAGTTTTGGGAAGATTGGAGAAACTTAATTTTTCGCCCGAAAAAAAAAAAAACATAAGGGGTACCACTGTCGTTTTTTTTTTCGGGTCGAAATTTTGAATTTTGATATCTCAGCTCTAGAAGGGTCTAGAGCCTCCATTTTTGCACTTAGGTGAAAGTCTCGTGGCCCTCTATCAAAATCCAGAGTTTTGAGAAGATTGAAAAAACGTAATTTTTCGCCCGAAAACGAAAAAAAACGAAAGGGGTAACACTGTCATTTTTTTTTCGGGTCGAAATTTTGAATTTTGATATCTCAGCTCTGGAAGGGTCTAGAGCCTCAATTTTTGCACTCAGGTCAAAGTTTCGTGCCCTCTATCAGAATCCAGAGTTTTGAGAAGATTGGAGAAACTTGATTTTTCGCCCAAAAACGAAAAAAAACGTAAGGGGTAACACTGTCGTTTTTTTTTCGGGTCGAAATTTTGAGTTTCCATATCTCAGCTCTGGAAGGGTCTAGAGCCTCCATTTTTGCGCTCAGGTCAAAGTCTCGCGGCCCTCTATCATAATCCAGAGTTTTGAGAAGATTGGAGAAACTTGATTTTTCGCCCGAAAACGAAAAAAAACGTAAGGGGTAACACTGTCGTTTTTTTTTGGGTCGAAATTTTGAGTTTCCATATCTCAGCTCTGGAAGGGTCTAGAGCCTCCATTTTTGCGCTCAGGTCAAAGTCTCGCGGCCCTCTATCATAATCCAGAGTTTTGAGAAGATTGGAGAAACTTGATTTTTCCCCCGAAAACAAAAAAAAACGTAAGGGGTAACACTGTCGTTTTTTTCGGGTCGAAACTTTGAGTTTCCATATCTCAGCTCTGGAAGGGTCTAGAGCCTCCATTTTTGCGCTCAGGTCAAAGTCTTGCAGCCCTCTATCATAATCCAGAGTTTTGAGAAGATTGGAGAAACTTGATTTTTCCCCCGAAAACGAAAAAAAACGTAAGGGGTAACACTGTCGTTTTTTTTTCGGGTCGAAATTTTGAGTTTCCATATCTCAGCTCTGGAAGGGTCTAGAGCCTCCATTTTTGCGCTCAGGTCAAAGTCTTGCGGCCCTCTATCATAATCCAGAGTTTTGAGAAGATTGGAGAAACTTGATTTTTCGCCCAAAAACAAAAAAAAACGTAAGGGGTAACACTGTCGTTTTTTTTTCGGGTCGAAACTTTGAGTTTCCATATCTCAGCTCTGGAAGGGTCTAGAGCCTCCATTTTTGCGCTCAGGTCAAAGTCTCGCGGCCCTCTATCATAATCCAGAGTTTTGAGAAGATTGGAGAAACTTGATTTTTCGCCCGAAAACAAACAAAAAAAAACGTAAAGGGTAACACTGTCGTTTTTTTTTTCGGGTCGAAATTTTGAGTTTCATATCTCAGCTCTGGAAGGGTCTAGAGCCTCCATTTTTGCGCTCAGGTCAAAGTCTCGCGGCCCTCTATCATAATCCAGAGTTTTGAGAAGATTGGAGAAACTTGATTTTTCGCCCGAAAATGAAAAAAAACTTAAGGGGTAACACTGTCGTTTTTTTTTCGGGTCGAAATTTTGAGTTTCCATATCTCAGCTCTGGAAGGGTCTAGAGCCTCCATTTTTGCGCTCAGGTCAAAGTCTCGCGGCCCTCTATCATAATCCAGAGTTTTGAGAAGATTGGAGAAACTTGATTTTTCGCCCGAAAACGAAAAAAAAACGTAAGGGGTAACACTGTCGTTTTTTTTTTCGGGTCGAAATTTTGAGTTTCCATATCTCAGCTCTGGAAGGGTCTAGAGCCTCCATTTTTGCGCTCAGGTCAAAGTCTCGCGGCCCTCTATCATAATCCAGAGTTTTGAGAAGATTGGAGAAACTTGATTTTTTCGCCCGAAAACGAAAAAAAACGTAAGGGGTAACACTGTCGTTTTTTTTTTTTCGGGTCGAAATTTTGAGTTTCCATATCTCAGCTCTGGAAGGGTCTAGAGCCTCCATTTTTGCGCTCAGGACAAAAGTCTCGCGGCCCTCTATCATAATCCAGAGTTTTGAGAAGATTGGAGAAACTTGATTTTTCGCCCGAAAACGAAAAAAAACGTAAGGGGTAACACTGTCGTTTTTTTTTCGGGTCGAAATTTTGAGTTTCCATATCTCAGCTCTGGAAGGGTCTAGAGCCTCCATTTTTGCGCTCAGGTCAAAGTCTCGCGGCCCTCTATCATAATCCAGAGTTTTGAGAAGATTGGAGAAACTTGATTTTTCGCCCGAAAAAAAAAAAAAAACGTAAGGGGTAACACTGTCGTTTTTTTTTCGGGTCGAAATTTTGAGTTTCCATATCTCAGCTCTGGAAGGGTCTAGAGCCTCCATTTTTGCGCTCAGGTCAAAGTCTCGCGGCCCTCTATCATAATCCAGAGTTTTGAGAAGATTGGAGAAACTTGATTTTTCGCCCAAAAACGAAGAAAAAAAACGTAAGGGGTAACACTGTCGTTTTTTTTTCGGGTCGAAATTTTGAGTTTCCATATCTCAGCTCTGGAAGGGTCTAGAGCCTCCATTTTTGCGCTCAGGTCAAAGTCTTGCGGCCCTCTATCATAATCCAGAGTTTTGAGAAGATTGGAGAAACTTGATTTTTCGCCCGAAAACAAAAAAAAACGTAAGGGTAACACTGTCGGTTTTTTTTTCGGGTCGAAATTTTGAGTTTCCATATCTCAGCTCTGGAAGGGTCTAGAGCCTCCATTTTTGCGCTCAGGTCAAAGTCTCGCGGCCCTCTATCATAATCCAGAGTTTTGAGAAGATTGGAGAAACTTGATTTTTCGCCCGAAAACAAAAAAAAAACGTAAGGGGTAACACTGTCGTTTTTTTTTCGGGTCGAAATTTTGAGTTTCCATATCTCAGCTCTGGAAGGGTCTAGAGCCTCCATTTTTGCGCTCAGGTCAAAGTCTCGCGGCCCTCTATCATAATCCAGAGTTTTGAGAAGATTGGAGAAACTTGATTTTTCGCCCGAAAACAAAAAAAAAACGTAAGGGGTAACACTGTCGTTTTTTTTTCGGGTCGAAATTTTGAGTTTCATATCTCAGCTCTGGAAGGGTCTAGAGCCTCCATTTTTGCGCTCAGGTCAAAGTCTCGCGGCCCTCTATCATAATCCAGAGTTTTGAGAAGATTGGAGAAACTTGATTTTTCGCCCGAAAATGAAAAAAAACGTAAGGGGTAACACTGTCGTTTTTTTTTTCGGGTCGAAATTTTGAGTTTCCATATCTCAGCTCTGGAAGGGTCTAGAGCCTCCATTTTTGCGTTTAGGTCAAAGTCTCGCGGCCCTCTATCATAATCCAGAGTTTTGAGAAGATTGGAGAAACTTGATTTTTCGCCCGAAAACGAAAAAAAACGTAAGGGGTAACACTGTCGTTTTTTTTTCGGGTCGAAATTTTGAGTTTCCATATCTCAGCTCTGGAAGGGTCTAGAGCCTCCATTTTTGCACTCAGGTCAAAGTCTCGCGGCCCTCTATCATAATCCAGAGTTTTGAGAAGATTGGAGAAACTTGATTTTTCGCCCAAAAACGAAAAAAAAAACGTAAGGGGTAACACTGTCGTTTTTTTTTCGGGTCGAAATTTTGAGTTTCCATATCTCAGCTCTGGAAGGGTCTAGAGCCTCCATTTTTGCGCTCAGGTCAAAGTCTCGCGGCCCTCTATCATAATCCAGAGTTTTGAGAAGATTGGAGAAACTTGATTTTTCGCCCGAAAACAAAAAAAAACGTAAGGGGTAACACTGTCGTTTTTTTTTTCGGGTCGAAATTTTGAGTTTCCATATCAGCTCTGGAAGGGTCTAGAGCCTCCATTTTTGCGCTCAGGTCAAAGTCTCGCGGCCCCTATCATAATCCAGAGTTTTGAGAAGATTGGAGAGAAACTTGATTTTTCGCCCGAAAACAAAAAAAAAACGTAAGGGGTAACACTGTCGTTTTTTTTTTCGGGTCGAAATTTTGAGTTTCCATATCTCAGCTCTGGAAGGGTCTAGAGCCTCCATTTTTGCGCTCAGGTCAAAGTCTCGCGGCCCTCTATCATAATCCAGAGTTTTGAGAAGATTGGAGAAACTTGATTTTTCGCCCAAAAACGAAAAAAAACGTAAGGGGTAACACTGTCGTTTTTTTTTTCGGGTCGAAATTTTGAGTTTCCATATCTCAGCTCTGGAAGGGTCTAGAGCCTCCATTTTTGCGTTTAGGTCAAAGTCTCGCGGCCCTCTATCATAATCCAGAGTTTTGAGAAGATTGGAGAAACTTGATTTTTCGCCCGAAAACGAAAAAAACATAAGGGGTAACACTGTCGTTTTTTTTTTCGGGTCGAAATTTTGAGTTTCCATATCTCAGCTCTGGAAGGGTCTAGAGCCTCCATTTTTGCGCTCAGGTCAAAGTCTCGCGCCCCTCTATCATAATCCAGAGTTTTGAGAAGATTGGAGAAACTTGATTTTTTCGCCAAAAACGAAAAAAAAACGTAAGGGGTAACACTGTCGTTTTTTTTCGGGTCGAAATTTTGAGTTTCCATATCTCAGCTCTGGAAGGGTCTAGAGCCTCCATTTTTGCGCTCAGGTCAAAGTCTCGCGGCCCTCTATCATAATCCAGAGTTTTGAGAAGATTGGAGAAACTTGATTTTTCGCCCGAAAACAAAAAAAAAAACGTAAGGGGTAACACTGTCGTTTTTTTTTCGGGTCGAAATTTTGAGTTTCCATATCTCAGCTCTGGAAGGGTCTAGAGCCTCCATTTTTGCGCTCAGGTCAAAGTCTCGCGGCCCTCTATCATAATCCAGAGTTTTGAGAAGATTGGAGAAACTTGATTTTTCGCCCAAAAACGAAAAAAAACGTAAGGGGTAACACTGTCGTTTTTTTTTCGGGTCGAAATTTTTGAGTTTCCATATCTCAGCTCTGGAAGGGTCTAGAGCCTCCATTTTTGCGCACTCAGGTCAAAGTCTCGCGGCCCTCTATCATAATCCAGAGTTTTGAGAAGATTGGAGAAACTTGATTTTTCGCCCGAAAATGAAAAAAAACGTAAGGGTAACACTGTCGTTTTTTTTCGGGTCGAAATTTTGAGTTTCCATATCTCAGCTCTGGAAGGGTCTAGAGCCTCCATTTTTGCGTCAGGTCAAAGTCTCGCGGCCCTCTATCATAATCCAGAGTTTTGAGAAGATTGGAGAAACTTGATTTTTCGCCCGAAAACGAAAAAAAAACGTAAGGGGTAACACTGTCGTTTTTTTTTCGGGTCGAAATTTTGAGTTTCCATATCTCAGCTCTGGAAGGGTCTAGAGCCTCCATTTTTGCGCTCAGGTCAAAGTCTCGCGGCCCTCTATCATAATCCAGAGTTTTGAGAAGATTGGAGAAACTTGATTTTTCGCCCGAAAACGAAAAAAAACGTAAGGGGTAACACTGTCGTTTTTTTTCGGGTCGAAATTTTGAGTTTCGATATCTCAGCTCTGGAAGGGTCTAGAGCCTCCATTTTTGCACTCAGGTCAAAGTCTCGCGGCCCTCTATCATAATCCAGAGTTTTGAGAAGATTGGAGAAACTTGATTTTTCGCCCAAAAACGAAAAAAAACGTAAGGGGTAACACTGTCGTTTTTTTTTCGGGTCGAAATTTTGAGTTTCGATATCTCAGCTCTGGAAGGGGTCTAGAGCCTCCATTTTTTGCGCTCAGGTCAAAGTCTCGCGGCCCTCTATCATAATCCAGAGTTTTGAGAAGATTGGAGAAACTTGATTTTTCGCCCGAAAACGAAAAAAAACGTAAGGGTAACACTGTCGTTTTTTTTTCGGGTCGAAAATTTTGAGTTTCCATATCTCAGCTCTGGAAGGGTCTAGAGCCTCCATTTTTGCGCTCAGGTCAAAGTCTCGCGGCTCTATCATAATCCAGAGTTTTGAGAAGATTGGAGAAACTTGATTTTTCGTCCGAAAACAAAAAAAAAAAACGTAAGGGGTAACACTGTCGTTTTTTTTTCGGGTCGAAACTTTGAGTTTTCCATATCTCAGCTCTGGAAGGGTCTAGAGCCTCCATTTTTGCGCTCAGGTCAAAGTCTCGCGGCCCTCTATCATAATCCAGAGTTTTGAGAAGATTGGAGAAACTTGATTTTTCGCCCAAAAACGAAAAAAAACGT